ATATATCCATTTTCTAACAAACAATCAAAAGATTTTGAGTTTTTTTTTCAACTTTTGATTTTTAGTTCAATTTTTACCTAAATCTCGGTGCTTCTGCAGCCTCCCCACCTTCGCCGAGCACGATCCGGTGCTTCCGCAGCCTCCGCGACGGTGGTTTCAAACAAATGTTTTATTTATTGGTTTAAAGAATTTCCAACGTATACATGTGGTGGTAGACTTATTGGGTAGTTATGGTAGATTTATAAGTTTTTTTTTTTTAGGTTTCAGGATGGCAGTTGCGTAAATAAAATAGATTATTAACTTTTTTTTTTTTGTTAAGTTATGCAGTGGACTTAGATTTCCTGTTTTCCTGCCTATCGAACAATTGTTACTTGTTTATTTTGAAGTTTAATGGTCAGAAGCAAGAAGAATGGCTAGTCTCTCATGGCTACAAACATCACTGACCTTGGAGATACACCCTAACTTGTTCCACAAGTAAACCTCAAACTTCCACAATCGATGTGATTTGTTTTCCGTTTTCTCGTGTTTAACCTCTTCAATGATACCGTCTGCATAAGCGAGGAGGAACTAGATAAAGCTACCGCAGAGAATGGTGAGAACTTTCTGTCTGAACATAAGCAATACGTACGGACAAGCATTGCCTTGGTGATAGCTATAGTACTATTGTCTTTTCTTTATCTATGTAGAAATTCTGAATCATTAATTAGTCCAGTAGTAGATTGCTCATTCAAGAACCAAATCCTTTAATGACATCGATATCGCAATATTGCTAATTGATCAAGCTATTGATCAATCTATTACCACAATACATGTCACATGTTAATTATCAAGGACAAGTGAACCACCAACATGAAAAGTCATCATGCACGTTGTAGCTAGGATCATGAAGATATACAAAAACCGTTTATAATATTTTAGGAATCAATAACTAACTAAACCGTTTATAATCTTGTAAGTTGTAGCTATGTTCAAGGCTTCAAGCTTTATGACCTCTATGGAACCGGCTTCATCGAACCCCATGAGGTACTATTATGAAAAATATACAAAAAAATTGTTGAATAGAAATTATAGCGTCTCAATTTCTTTAAAAACAAAAAAAAAAGGATTTAATTGGAAAAGTGTAATCCTTTTCTTGTTAAACTGTAGTAAAGTGTTTTAAAACAATTTTTCATTATGTGATTGTGACGCATTAGCGCAGGTCGGCAGTTGTTAAAAAAGGAAGCAATGAGATAGTCATCCACACCATGTGGGATTATCCTAGTTATGTCTAATGATTTGTGTAATTATCATTTGTTAATCTCCAATCATCTTCATCAGAGAGTATAAGATTTGTGTAATTAATTATCATTTTATTGTGCTTCGAATTTTATTAACAACTAGTGTATTATCCGCGCTTTGCGTGGAATTTTATTTTGAAATAATGATCTTTAAAYAAAATAAAGATCAAAACAAATAAATAATAATGATCTTTATAAAAATCAAAGAAAAATATTTTATAGAAACTACATGTGAAAGAAACAATTATTCAAAACTCAATATTAATAGAAGATAGAAAACCAAAACCCAATATTAATTGTTTTTTTTATAATCTGTCTCAAACCAAACAAAAATACTCGAACAAAAARGTTTTGATCCCACTGTCAGTCCATCTTTTATTATTTTCTCATGAAAAGTAACCATAGTGCCGTTAAAAAGCTTACAAACAAACATGAAACCGGAAATATAAAAAGCCTAGAGTGTTGACAAAAAAAAAACTCGAGTTTCATAACTTCCTTCAACATCAACCACGAACCTATAAAGCATATATTTCTTATCGAACATCTCAAACACAGTATTCACATTATCCATCTTCACAATTTCAACCATCAACTCAAACATTTTTCCTTACAAGAAAATCAAGCATTTTTTCTCTATGTTCTTTACGCATCCTAGCGTTTATAACTCTCATTATGCTGCTGCTATTTCACTTCTCCCTCCTATTTTTGCCTCTGCTTTGTCTTGTCGATGTCTCTCGTCATGAACAACCTCTTCGTTCCTAACTTTATGAAATTATAATCATCTGTCAGAG